GGGAAAGGGAAGCCCCGAGCGGGATAGGAGTCCAGGAGGGGGTTCAGTCAGTACAGATGGGTGAGAAGCAAAGGTCCGGTCTCAACACCCACAGGCATTCCCACCCCGGGGGGCAGGGCATCTTCTCAGGACCCAGGAAGCTCCTGCCACCCAGCGGTTCGGGACTTGCCTTTAGACCTCTCTGATGTCTGCAGAAAAGGGGAGGCAGACGCAGTCTCAGAAGCCAATCGTGCATCAAAGTGCAACGCCAGCACGCACTCGGAGATGTCCGACGGTGCCCGCTGCACAGCAGGACAGAGGAACCTTGACTTCCAGGGGCCACGCGCAGCCTCGGAGCGCCGAAGGCACTGGCAGACCAAGCTCGGTCGGTGGCACAATGTTCTGAGGGGCGGCGGCCACAGGGGCAGATGGGCTTGAGTCGAGAGTAGGGGCCCCAGGGAAGGCAGGGATGTGCGGCCATCGGAGAGACGGGGCTTAGCAGAGCATTACTCACACCCCACCCTCCCTGGTGGAATGCCCACATGCTGCTGTAGCTTTTTGGGGAGCGGAGTATGCATTCTTTGGAGGCTCAGGGCTCGGCTGTCTCTCCCACGCGGAGCCAGGTCTCTGTGCCTCTATTTCTTGTCCACCAAAAGCCTGTTTGCTCTTTCTTCCTCCTTGGCGAGCTGACGATCGAAGGAAGAGCGTATAGGATGGTGGGGCCGCAAGACACGTGTATTCTTTGTCATAAGCGATCACGCTGGAAGTCTAGGGCACAGATGCCCCGTTGTCACCGGTCGGCCTCTAAGGGCCTGACCCATTTGAAGGAGTTGGTGAGACGCAGTTTCCAGAACTGCCAGAATGAGGGTGAGACCCAGGACCCTGTGAGCACCGGCGACATCCTCCAGCCTCTCTTGGCCTTCTATGTGGGGCCCAGGAGTGACTCCCAAGGGCTCCACGAGCTCTGAAGCTATGGGTCGACCCAGACAGTCATTAGAGCACTTTATCCCGGGTCCAAGACACGACAAAACCGCCCAGGGTGGTCATGGGGGAACCACTTGCTTCGCCAATACAGGCATTTTCTTTCCCAGCGGGAAAATGCAGGAACAACACACGGTGTCCCAGCGGGGTCCCCAGCACAAAAACGGATGCTGCCCATGTGATGCAGCAGTTGCCTTTCCACGTGTTTGTTGAACGCATTAGTGAAGTTTCTTCACTTGTAAAAACAGGCAAGTAAAACAGCACACGTCTCATCTGTCACTCTCTTTAGAGCTACTCGACATGCTTTTTACGACGGCATGTAAAACTGGCTCTCAGGGCTCGGGAAGACTTTCTTCTCGAGGCCGATGGTCCCGAGTGGAAGCGTCTTCTCACCTCGTGAAGGGCTTCTGCTTCCCCTTCGGCAGACCGAGGGGGGCCATGGGCCCCTGCCCTCCCGGAACTGAGGACTCCGCAGCCCACCCCAGCCCGCACAGCAGGGCTGAGGAGGGGATGAGTCCGGGAGGCGCTGCTGCCCCCTTCTTGGGGCCACAGGCTTTGTCGGCTGCCTGCTGCTCCTGTCCCGGCTGACAACAAACGCACCTTCCGCTCTGCCGACACTAACACGCCTTGTGCCCCTGACCCCCCGACTCTGGCTCTCTTGGGCTTATGCCAGCTCGCCACCTTCCTCTTAGGACTGGGCCTCACCCCTCGGGCTATACATTCGGTGGGAGTCTCTGTGGACCACGATGCACATGCCTCCCTTTACTCTGGTCCTCTGGGAGCAATGGTCTTTCCCATCCACGACCACCCACTGACTCCACCCCCATCGTCTACTGAAACGTCTGTATAACCGTAATAACTGAAATCCTCAACCCCACTCACATCCTGTTTCAAAAATATTAATTTTGCAAGAAAGTACCTGGCCGACGGCCAACTAAATAAACAGCAGAACCGCCACATTAGTAAAGTAACACTACCCCCTTCCCTGTTTTCTGTTCCTTCCTGATATGTAACCTTTAATTACCACAGTTACAGAAACTGCATTTTTTTAAGCTGCATTACATATATAAGCCCCCTGCTTGCTTTGCTCAGGGCTGAGAGTTTTCAGTGTGTATTGCCCTCTCTCGGTTGCCAGCTGACTCAAGACTCAGGATCTCATCTCCTACATGTTGGCATTATATTGCTTGCACACTGGTCATAACACTGCCCTCGAGAGGGTCACACGCATCCAAACACCAGATCCCACGGATCTAGCCAAGGGCTTTTTGTTTTTGTTTGAGACACAGTCTCACTCTGCCACCCAGGCTAGGGTGAAGTGGCACAGCGGCGTGATTATGGCTTACCACAGCCTCGACCTCCCAGATTCAGGCAATATTTCCGCCTAAGCCTCTCATGTGCCACCATGCCCAGCTAATTTCTGGATTTTTTGTAGAGACGAGGCTAGACTCGAACTCCCGGACTCAAGCAATTGTCCCACCTCAGCCTCCCAAACTGCTAGGACTGCAGGTGCACGCCATCACACTCGACTTGAGTTTTGACTTTTTTGAAAGAAGTGGTTTCATTATGCTGCCCAGGCTGGTCTCAAACTCCTAGGCTCAAGTGACTCTCCTGCCTTGGCCTCCCAAAGTGCTGGGATTACAGGCGTGAGCCACCACGCCAGGCCTTAACCAATGCTTGAAAGCTGCTGAACCTCTCAGGACATTGCACGTGGTTTTTTCCTCTTTTCTCCCCATGAATCTGGTTCTTGGACGCCTCCCATTTCCCTGATCAATCGGCCTCATTTCCTTCCCCTCCTGCTAAACGTGGCTGCGCCTGGCTACCCACTCTGGCTGGCTGGCTTTTTTTTTTTTGAGTTGGAGTCTCACTCTGTTGCCCAGACTGGAGTGCAGTGGCCACTCCCGGCCACCGCAACCTCGACCTGCTGGGCTCCGGTGATCCTTCCACCTCAACCTTCCAAGTAGCCGGAATTACAGGCATGCGCTACCACGCCCAGTTGATTTTTTTTGATTTATTGTAGAGATGAGGTCTTGCTGCCCAGGCGGGTCTCGAACCCGCGGACTCAGGCAATCCACTCACCTCAGCTTCCCAAAGGTGCGGGATTACAGGCTGAGCCACTGAGCCCGGCTTGGCCGGCTTCTTAAAGCCGCGAGGCTCCGCCCAGCTGGACCTCTCCCTCTCAATGCTGGCGGCTGCAAGATCTGCTGCCCAGGGTGGTCTTCTGGATCCCCGTTTCTCTTCACCAACTGATCGTTTTCCTCCCAGGAGACGGCTCTTAAAACCCAGCCCAGGCAAATCCAAACTCATCGTCTTGGCCACCATGCAAGGTCTTCTCTGGTCGTTTGCCCAGCTCAAAATGGATTCCCCATTCTTTGGAAGCTGACCCTGATCGACAGGGTGGGCCTCGAGCAGCCACGTGACTGACACCCGGGTCACAGCTGACTGGCACAAGGACAGCCACTGCCTGAAGGGAACCACTCAGGTGCTCTCTCCTAGTGTGAAGTGGGAGGGACAGGGCGGGGCCTTAGCTCTCTGTGGTGCTGCTCTAGGGGAAGGGCCCAGGGGCTCCGGGTGCTGGGTGCCCTGGGGCCACCCTGCTCCCACTCTTTCTGGTAACTTCACCTCTGCGGATCCCTGAGGCTCTCTAGAAAGGCCGAGCATCGTCCCTTGGGGGCTGAGCTGGCGAGAGCCGGCTCCTGCCACGTACAGAACTGTAAGGACTGACACCTGTCTGCTGGGAATCTCATTCTGCCAGGCCCCACCATGCCCTTACCCAGCAAGGGCTTCGAACGGGACTCGCTCTTGCTTTGCACGAAGCCCCACAGCGAGAACATGCAGCCTTCTGTGTCTCGGCACCAAAGCCATCTCTTTCGGAGCCCCACGCCTCTCTCCTGCCCGGTTCCGGCCCTGGGGAACCCGCTCCTGGGCTCATCCAGCCTCTCCAGGTTCCAGGGCTCGTTCTGCTCATCCCACAATCCCTGAGCCCTGAGGCTAAGTCCTGCTGTCTTACCACAGCGTTCAAAGAGCCAGGCTGGCAGGGCTGTGGCGCCTACCTCCACTGCCGTGTGCAGACAGGCCAGGTGACTGACCTTCGCCAAACACTCCTCGCTGCTTCTGTGATTCTGCCCCAGGGCCCTGTGCCATCCGCCCTGGCGAGACGCCCTCCTGCCTCAGGCCGACCTCCGCCGCTTCCCCCACCCGGGGGACCCAGAGACTCTCCCCATCCTCCAGGACAGGAGCTCAGCTGGGGCGTTCCGCGCTCACCCTCCCTGCCAGACTGGGAGGCACAGGCGCCATGGCAGCTGACCCGAGTCGTCCACCTGCCAACGCCTGCCAGGTGGGGAGAAGGCCTGGCAAGAACAGCCAGAGCCAAAGTATGTCGCTGCTGGTCATGGCTTAGCCGAACCCGGGGGAAAGAGTGTCTTTGGTGCTGAGAGGTTCGTCAAAGGGACTGCGCCCAGATCTCCAGGCCTCGGTGTCCGAGAAGACGACTCATGAACTCGGCTTTAGACTCCAGGAAAGGCAGGTCTGTGTGGCTTGTATATAAAGCATTTCCATAAACGTGAATTGTTTTCTTCTTCACTGTGGCTCCATGAAGCAATTAGAATGTACGAGAGTCCATTTGTAGGTCAGACGGCTGGAAAGAGGTCACACGACCCGTCTATGACGGGCCTTTGACAGGAAACCGAGTTCTTTCTGCTCGACCACGCTGCCTCTCCAACGACAGTGCTGACACACGAAACTGGCGACGTGGGGACGTCTGAGTAACGCGGGGTGGGGAGAGGCCTGCTTCCCCACCCTTGCGGCCCCTGTGTGAGCCCCTGTGGCCACCCTGGGGCGCTTCACCACCCACTGCAGAACATGTGGCTTTCTCCCAGGAAGGAGCCCTGGCTCCAAACACTTGGACTTGAAGGCAAAATATTTTAATTCTTCACAAAGCGATTTGTCCCGCTTACTCCCCTCCTCTAGACCCAGCCTGGTAGAGCCTCTGCATGCACGCCCGTTGGTCTGCGCAGGAGGGCGTGTGCATAAACACACATGCGTATTCACACGGGTTTATTTAAGAGATGGGATCTACACTCGGGGAGGTTGTTTGAAGCATCTTATCAAAATAAGACACATCTTAAGCAAGAGGTTAAAAAAGCTTTTCAGACCCAAAGGCCGTTTAATACAATAAATCCTACTTGGGAAGTTTAGCAAACATTTTTAAAAGCCCACATCCAACAGACTGGTTAGTATTAGATACACAGATTTGGTTTCAAAGCTGAAATACCCCTGGTGGAATCGAACTCCTCATGAAATTCGGTTACATTACGCCACAGAAAAAAACAGGGATACATATCTATCGGCAACTTAAATATTACTCAGTAGGCTACTTGGTGATATAAATAGACAAAAAAAAGTGATCATGGATTAGGAGTGAGAAGACTATGACACCAGTCAACCTTGACAAATTATGCCAGCGATGTTAAAATAGAACCTAGCCTCTAAAATAGGAGAAAAGTCAAATATTCCACTCCCTACCTGGCCCAAACCATCCCCAAGGAGTACAGCCCCAACACACGAGGCTTGCTAACCACCCGATGTGGCTATGTCACGAGTTAACAATGACCACAGAAAACGTGTCATACCAGAGTTCCTGTTATCATACACCACGCATCAGTGGCTGCAGGGCTCTTCCTCTGAAAGCAACTGTCAGAAGACAGACTGACAAACGTCTGAGCCGCTGGTCCAAGAACCACAGCCGAGAGCCACGGGCACTCGTCCGTACGCCGAGCTTGTGGGCGCCCTGCTCGAGGAGGGGGCTGGGTGTGGCGAGGCCGTCCCAGCCGGCGCTGCAGCCTGCTCCTCCTACTCCTGGGCCTCCTTGCGGGTCAGCTTGTAGATCTCGGTGGGGCCGTCCACATGGGTGATCGTGGTGGTGAGCTGGAGTTCTTCCCCACTGTGGACGCCCAGATCGCCTGAAACAGGGTTGTCGGTGTTAGACGTGGCCAAGGAGGAAGAGGAAGCAAGCTGGGCTCACCCCGTGAACACTGCCCCGAGGCTAGCCCTCGTTCGCACTCTGAGCACAGAGGAGTCTGAGATACCCCACTTCCAGAACAAGGCCAGCTCCCACCCCAAGCACTTGGACTCTGCAGAACCGTTTTTTTAGGGGGGTATCATTTTTGGCTCTCGGGGAACAGTCACTGACGATGCACGAGTTAGCACACTGCTGCTGTTGTTATTCACAGTAATTCTCAGCGATTAATAAGTGCTGACTTTGTGTCTGACGCTACTCTCATCGCTTTATACGTGATCTTATCTAGTCCTTGTGGGAGCCCCCTGAGGTGGGCACTACGGTTGGGCTGACTTTCCAGGTGAGGAAGTGGGGAAGTCAGTAAAGTAACTGCCCCCCGTGCAGCAGCGCCCACGGCAGAGCTGGCAACAGGGCTGATGCCAAGGCCCACGAGAGTGGCCAAGCCAGGACAGCATGCCTCCCCACTGCCTGGCAGGCGCGTACACACTGGCTGAGCTTCGTGACAGAGCAGTTACAGTGTGTGAAGGCAGACCAGACCTGCCAGTATCCACCCACAGATCAGGCAAGGAGCTCCATCTAGCACCTCTCGGAACAATGAGGGTCTCCTTCTCCAAGAAAAAGTGCCAGGAATGTGCTCGGAACTTTCTTTTTCCCCTCAGATTTCCTCACACACCTGTGTTTTAACTCATCACCAGCGGACAGAGGTGTTCTGCTAGAATGGAATTACGTGGCCTTTTCTCAATTAGCAGGAGAAAAAAGTCTTTCCCTAGGTTAACCCTCCAAAGCCTACTGCCTGCCATGAGACCATTAAGTAACTACACAGCTAACAAAAGGAAAGTGGAAAACACACAGCCAGTCATGCTCAGCACAACCGAGTGGGCTGCCTGTGAACACACATGCCTGGGGGGAGGGGGGGGTCTGTGGTTTTTTATATTGAACACATATATAATCTCCTATTTCTTGGGACTACATTTTTTTCTAATTCAAAGCACAGAATTAAGTGAAAAAAATGCTGTTTTCCATCGAGATTCCACATTGTAACTTAGAAGAAGCCTTGATCCCACCCTTAGGACTAATATTTCGTCACTAGTTTAAGAGCTGCTGGGCATGAACACATCTGACGGCCTTCGAGCCCAGAGCTCAGCCATGCTCCGGCCATGCAGGCTGCTTGGCCGGGTCTTTACGTGTGTCGCATGGAATTCGTCTTTCCTCATATGCCTATTTTTGTGAGGTCGCACAGTAAAAGCCGTCCTGTTATTCAACGCCAGCCTGCAGCTGTCCACCCGAAAGATTCCCCAGTTTCAGAAGCAGGGTCACCAGATGCTGCAGAGGACTGCTGACGATATCTGCGGCTGCTTTGGCAAGAGTGTGAGCCTCTGAGCGGTGGGCAGAGAAGGCACTGGCAGGGCATCAGCCCAGCCTCATGCACAGGCAGTTGCCCTGGAGCCAGGGCACGGGCGCAAAGCAAGGCTGCAGAGAGCTTTGGCAGGGGCCGCCCTCGGCCAGGCCATTATTTGCACAACCAGCAAGTTCTCCCTAGCCCGAAATGACTTGCATTCTTGCTGCTGCAACTTCTAAACCACACCTCAGTCAAGCACAAGCAGCATGAGCTTCACATTTCTTGGTCAAAGCTAGTCCTGGATTCGCATATCTCAGGGAACCATTAACATTTCCAAGGGGTTCATGATCTGCATGTCTGTAGGAGTCATTCCAGTTTCAAAGAGGGTCTTGACCACCCCAGGGCACCCATCAGCACCTTTAAGTGTTTAGGGAGGCATCCCTTTCCCTGAAGACTCAGAAATAGACCCAACAGAGTAATCTTGGGGTTCTGAACCAAAGATGCTAATTGTTTAAACTTAAAATGCGACTCCCATGAGCAGATCCTAGAGAGTGTGAGTGACACTGCAGGTCTCTTGAAGAAAACAGCCAGAATGGTTCTGGCTTCTTTATTTCAAGGAAAACCTATGTTATAGTGCTTATCACATGCCTGACACGGTTCTAAACACGCTCAAAATATTAATGCATTTCATCCTTCTACCATTTCCCTGACAGAAGCGCTATGCCATCACTCCCATTCTGCTGATGAGGAAACAGACACAGAGAGGTTCGATAACTTGCCCGGGCGACTAAATAGTGACGTGGGATTCAAACCAGAGACAGGCTCCAGGATCCAGGCTCTCCACTTCTGGGCTCTGCCGCCTCTTCTCGAGCATGCGACTTTCCAGCAGCCAGTGAGACTGCCAGTGAAGCAGGAAGTCCACACGCGGCATACGACAGTCATACACGTACAACAATTCAGATGAACCGTTTGGCATCTTAATTTTACTTTTGTATCTGGTGAACGTGCCACACGCCAATCGGGGCACTGACGGAGCGGTTGTTTGTGAGTATCGGCCATATGCGCTGTGAGGGGCTTAGCGTGCCCTATATCTCCCTGGAAATGCGAAGATACAGCGGGTGGCATCATGTCTTTCTCTCACGAGCTGGATGAGGGTGCAGATCGGCGGGGCTCGCGTGGACTCTGCTGTCCCTGGAGGCCAACTCGGCTCCCCCTCCGGGAGTGGGCGTGGGCGGGAGCGTGGCGCACAGAGCAGGGCGGGCCTCCCCCACCAGCATCCTGATCCATCGCCTCCCGCTTCTGCCAGGTCTTGCTCCATCTGTGAGCCTCCCCCCTTGGCTTCTGCTGCTCAGCGAGCACAAACATGCTCAAAGTCTCTTCCCATCTAAGACGAGAAAAAACCCTCCTGAAGACGTGATATGCTTTTATTGAGGGGAAAGAGGAAAAAAGAAAAAAGAAAAAAATAGAAAGAAAAAGAAAAGAATTCTTCAGCTTGCAATACATCTCTCTCCCTGGCAAGGATGTCAGTTCATCCCAGCCCAGGAACAATTAGAGGAAGGCTGGGCTCTTCCTGACTTTTGTGGAATAAGACCAGATTCTGGCACTGACTTCATCTCAAAGGTCTATGGCGGTGGACTTGTGTGGTGTGTGGAATCACATTCACTTCCATAGGTGTATTGTGGCCTCTCGGCTGTAACGGCCTGCAATGCCCGAGGACCAAGAGAGCGACACACGCTGGATTCAGCTTCTTGAGACTGGCAGCACTTTAATGGCAGTCGTCTGTGCATCTGTGGCCGCTTCCACACAAAAAGGACGCTGCTAGGCTCACTCTGAGGCTGCGTCACAGAGTCTGGGCAAGACCAGAGGTTCTCTGAGAACAAGGATGACCTGATTCCACCCTCACAGCCACCAAGGCTCACGTGCACCTGCGACCCAAGCATGGGAGCTGGGAGCTCCCACACCACGAGTCCATCTCTGCTGCTCAAGGTCGTGGCCGTGCGTGCTGGAGCCAGGATGTCAAACTATTGGTGTCTCCTTCCAAAGCTTGTGTTCTTTCCATGACACTCTTTTTTATGAAATTTTCCCTAGTCCCACACCAGCCCCTCTCCTATTCACCTTCAAGGCCAAGCCCAAATGATAACTCCTTGTAATGAACTTTCTGCTCACAGCAGAATGAGAAAAATAGGGGAGCGCGGTATTTGTAAAGTGACATGACTTCTGTGCTAAGGACTGCTGCTATTCACTCTTAAGATTATGTCTGTCCTGCGTTTTAGTGTGAATGTGATTGTCATGTCAAAAGTGGGTTTTTCAATCCTTTTTTGGTTCTTTTTTTAGAGAAAGGAAATACTCAGCACAGTTACCTGGTATGTAATAAGGACTCAAAACACCCACTAAGATTTGTCTGGTGCAGAAATCTGGCTCCTCCCTGCCCTGCATGACCAGATCTAGCCTAGGGTACCAGCACTGAGGTTTCCCACTGTCATTTAAGGACACTCGGCTAGAAAACAGGTGTGGGATGGCTTGGCCTGAGGATCCCTTCTGGTGGATGGGGCAAAGTGACTTTGGTGGGACATAATTCAGGAACCCTGGGTCCAGTTACTTCCCAATCCCTGTCACCCAAAGAGGTAGTTTGCCCGTGACTTGGGGGAAGCCCTTGCCCATAGACCTCCAAAGCACCTCCTGGCACTCAGCGCCAGGTAGCCACTACAACAAGTAGGGGGACACAATTAAAGCCAGAAGTTTCGAGTAAGATATGAATGTTGTGGGCTGAACTGCTTCTCTGACCTGTACCCCAAACTTATATGTTTAAGTCCTAACCCCTAGTACTTCCAAATGCAACTCTATTTGCAGTTACAGCCTTTAAAACAGTAGGTCAAAAATGAGGTCATCGGAATGAGGCCTAATCCAATACGACTGACCCTTTTAAAGAAAAGGAAATCCGAATACAGACACACGCAGAGGGAAGACCGGGTGAAGACACAGCCAGGCGGCTGCCTTCACGCCAGGTATGGAGGCTCAGAGCAAACAAACCTGCCTACACCTTGATCTCAGACTTCTAATGCCCAGAACTGGAAGAAAAGAAGGGTCTGTCGTTTAAGCGACCCAGGCTGTGGTATCTGTGATAGCAGTTCTGCCAAACTTAAACATTTAGAAAGCAAAAGCTCTTTCCAAGGTGACTGTGATGCCCCATCATGGTGGTGACAGTCATTCTAAGACTCAGCAAAGATGATTTCAATGGACAGAGCCAGGAAAGGCCAGGTCGCTGGTAGACCAGCAGCCCTGGGAGAGGCAGGACACAGAACATACCCAACTACAAAGAGCAGCGGACGAGGTGGCAGGCTGGTGAACAGCCCATCACCCAGTTCCTCCCATCACTGGAGGATGAGAAAGGCTGCCAAGAGGAGACCCACTTTAGAGTCTGGATCCCGCCCCCATGAGAAGAGTAATTCTGTCAGTGTTCACGGACATCAAGGAGAAGCCGGGTCGACCACAGGCGGATCACCTGATGTCCACCCAGGGGGAAGACCTCGCCAAAAGAGATGACCACTGTCAAGGCCTCGTGACTCAACTCAAAAACTCACTGAGAAAACAAGAGCTAGCACCACCATTCCTGAAGCAAGTGGCACCTTGGAAGCCTCTGGAAGTAACACTGGCACCACGTGGTAGCTAGCCACCAAGACATGGAAGCAGGGTTGCTGCCGCTGGGCCCAGCAGGGTGAGTGCACCAGACAGAAGATTTTGCGTGAACAGAGACAGGAAGGGGCGGTGACCATGAGGGCATCTCACGTTCTCTCCACCACAGTCGTCCAGCCAGAAATGTTTCTCACTTAAAAAAAAAAAATTCCAACAAGAATTTCATAGACAAAAGGACACAGAAGTCAAAGCTATGTCAAGAATCGTCTGCTTTCATGAACAGCTCCAACTTCTCATGGCCACGTCAACTGTGACTGAGTGGGTCTGGACAGGTTTCCCGTGTGCAGGGCTTTGCTGCTAGAGGCCTGGGAGACCGTGCTTTGGCTCTAAGAAGAGGGTTCACCCCAGCCCAATGCTGCTCTTTTTTGCCTGGGAAGATATCCAGAATGTTCTGCAAATTGGTTACAGCAACAGGTAAAAAGAACAACTTTCAGGAAAAGACAGCAGCAGGGCAAAAATGGAAAAGAGGACTAAAATATCTTGGCTAAACTAAAAAAGAAATGTGTGTGTGTGTGTGTGTACACTCACACAGACATGCACACACACGCATAACATGAGTCCATACATAATTCCATGTGCCTATAAACACAGCAGTGAATGCGTGTTGGCACCCCCACCACAGCTGTGGCCAACAGCAGGAAGCCCAGGCCTCCACACTCCTGCAGTGCCCATCTGCTGGGAAAATGCTCCAGTTGGGCGCTGTCCTTTCCTCCTATCTTGGGAGGCAGATGAGGAAATCGTGTCCCCAAACCAGGCTGATGGTTCCTTGCGCGCTGTCCCTCCTTTGAACTTTACCTCACTCTATCTCATCCGAGTGGGCACAGTGCTCAGTACTGAGGTGCTTAGTGGCTCATCTGGAAAGGGTCACTTTCTGAGTCATACGACAAAAGAAGATCCAGAAATAGATGAGAGAAAATGCTCTCTGGAAAGCGACCCTTTCCAGCAGCTGCCCACTGTGTTCTCTGTACACTCCGTGGCCAAGAAGGAAAAGCAGAGGCCTGTGCTCAACACCAGCACCTCCACCTCCTACCAGCTTCCTCCTGACACTTGGCTTCTAGCTCCATCCAACTCCCGTGCAAAACCACCCTCCCCAAGGCTTCCCTTCCTTTCCTTATCTTCTTTGGCTTCAGAAACTGCTTGTCAAGCTCCTGGAAGTGGGCTTTTTCCAGCGACCCCTTCAGGATCCATCTCACCAAGGCAAGGAGCGCCACACACCTGGGATTCATTCTCCAGAACACGCGATCAGAATTCTTGGCACCGGATCTTCAAAGTGAAGGGAGAAAAAGCCCGAGCCACTTTAAAATGAAAACATTCAGCCGGGCTTGGTGGCTCAGCCTGTAATCCCGTGCCTTTGGGAGGCTGAGGTGAGTGGACTGCCTGAGCCCGTGGGTTCGAGACCTGCCTAGGCAGCGAGACCTCATCTCTACAATAAATCCAAAAATCAGCCGGGCGTAGTAGCGCGCGCCTGTAATTCCGGCTACTCGGAAGACTGAGGCGGAAGGATCGCTGGAGCCCAGCAGGTTGAGGCTGCGGTGGCCAGGAGTGGCCACTGCACTCTAGTCTGGGTGACAGAGTGAGACTCCAACTCAAAAAAAAAAAAAAAATGAAAACATTCCATGAGAAAGGAAAAGCAGCCTGGGATGACTGGGGGAGGGGAAGGAATGTTTACCCAGAGACCCAGAGAATTTTAAAATACAGAGTGTCCTCCCAAGAGCTCATCTTTTAGGTTTCCATGGAATATTCCAAACCAGGTCTTCCCAAGGAGCTTGAGCTTTGAAATCTCAGCAGAGGCTCCATAATTCCTGGGAGACATTGTGTGGTCTGGTGGCAGAGGAAGACATGAACAGTGAAAGCCAACAGAGAAGGAAAACGATCAGAGAGCCCAGCACAGACGAGACCCTCCCAAATGCACAAGGTCACGAAGCCACACAGGAAAGCATGGGCACAGGAGTTGCCAGGAGCTCTCATGGGGCAGCTGCGAAGTCACCACTGAGGAGCCACTGCCTCACATGGCTTTTGTGTTTACAGTGGGCACAGAGACCCCAAAGGGTCTGCCTGCTAACTCCTTGAAGAATGCTTTTCAAAGGGGGCTCTACTGGCATTTCAGGGAGGACAATCTTTCTCACAAGGGACTCTTCTGCTCGTTGCAGGACATTTAATAGCAACCCTAGAATCTGGACACTAAATGTTAATGGCATGTCACAATAATAGTGACAATCCACAACAACCATAACCATTTTTAAATGCCTTTATCAAAGGATTTAGGGGTCATGGCCTCCTGCTGAAAACTAGTTTTCAAGTTTTCTGTGAAATTATAGATCAAGCTGTCTTCAACAAAAAATTTCTGATGAGGAAGGGACTGATGCTGTTCTCAATCGCCAGGTGTCAAGCCTATAAAGGCAGTGGCTGTGCAGGGAGAGAAGTACTGATTGGAGGCGACACCTGGCTTGCATCTCAAGAATCTGTCCAACATGGCAGCACGTGGTCATGTTGCCTCTGCAGGGCTGGCCACAGCTCTGGGCTCCTGCCGGCCCCACAGTGTCAAAGAAGGGTACATTCTCACCAGTGCTGGGAGGTCCCTGGCTTGTGACAAATGTCATCCCCCCTTAGGTGGCAGGCGGTGCTTTTCTGCCCCTTCCTTGTTGACAGGCAGAAAGAGATCCATCAACTGGCATAGGTCTCAAGGACTTTAAGAGATCACTCACTTTTGGGAGAAGTGGTACACCAAGGGTTAAGTGGTTTGCCAATGGTCACAGAGTAAAAACAACCAGAAGACCCTATGCACACAAAGTGCTGAGATGCAGTGAGTGCTTGATCACGATTACCCATTAGCGATGTCATTCCAGCGTCCAGGAAGTCCAGTCATTGCTTTATCTGGCATTTCCCCGGAAGGCAGAGACTCCACCTCTCGATCCAATAGGATGAGCATGAAATGAAATCGAGATTCTCGTCCACGAGCCCAGAAACTTGCTGCTGGCACCGTGGTGGTCCACGGCTGGAGAGGCTTCTGTGTGGGGAGTCAAGACACCGCTAGCATACAGCTGCCGGGCTCACAAGTCTTCCAGAAAGGCAGTCAGCCGGACCAAGAGCTGGGCAGGAGGCAGGTGAGCCCCCAGACCCATGGCCAGAAACGGACCTGAGACTGAGTGTGCCAAGGAGTCGAGGGCTAAGGGAAGAGAAGCCTTGTGTCCAGGATGCTCTCACATGGCCGTGGCAAGTCATGGCACAGACGGGTGGTGGCTGAGACCCCACTTCCCCTGGCCCTTGGCACGGGGTCTCCTTCCCCCACTCCTCTGTCTCCATCTCTTGCGTCGTTACTCCCCTCTTCTCCTCCCACCTCCGAGATCATCGAGCCATCTGTGAAATTCAAAGGCTAGTCTGGAGCTCTTATTTCTAAAGCACTAATTCATTCAACATTCTCAGAGCATCCTTAAGAGCTAGGTCTTGCCCTCACGGAGTCAGTGATCCAGCCGGAGAGCAAAGGCTGGGCCAATGCAGCCGCCACCTCTACCCAGCGGGCGTCACATGGAACGTAGACTGCTGTCCCCTCGGCCTGTTCCTGAGGATGCTAGTTCCAGGGACAACAAACTCCCAAAGAAAGGGCTCCAGGGACAAACAATTGAATACTTTTGGGAAATATTGTTACCTCCACCCCTTTTAAAAGAGTTGTAGCACAAACGAATGTACTAAAGGCATTAAGATGTCTTGTAATGAAAACTTAATGCCGAGCAACCCAACGATTCTCCTAAACTTATCAACAGCCCATGGAAACAATATTCCATTGGCTGTCAGCTGCTGGATTCCAGTCGGGGTGATCAGGAATAGGTTTCCAAGAAGAGGCTGCATTTTGACTGGGCCCAGGAGATGAGCAGGGCTTCATCAGGCCTAGATCTAGGCAGCTGTACAGCCCACTCATGCAACACACACTCGCCAAACACTTGTCTTAAAAAGGCCCGAGACAGAGTGAAGGGCACTGGCTCCGATTAGAGACAGCACATCTCAGACAGTGCCTTTGGTGATACAGGGTAAAGAAAAGCAAAGATAAGGCTGGAGCCGAACAGCAGAAGGACGCATGAGATCCGTCGTTTGCCAGGCCACCTGTCACCCATTAGCCCCACTGGCCTAGACAGCGGTAACCCTTTCTCTCCGCTGTAGCCAGTGGAGAAGCCATGGGCAAGCACTTCCCTCCTGTGGGCCTCAGATTCCTTACCTAGAAAGTGACCAGATCAAGTAAATTCTCTAAGGTTACTTGAAGCTGCCACATCTCAGGGTCCTGTGGCTGTGAGACAGAAGAAGACAGCACACACCAGTACTGAAAGACAGGGGGTTCTGGGGATGGGAAAATAACTGCTGGCAGACACATGTCAGCAAGCTCCCTTGAAGAAAAGGGAACAGAGGAAAAGTGGAGCCCAGCCCCTTGTTCAGCTCTCACACCCTGTCTCCCTCTGCCTAGCAACCTAGGCTCCTGCTTCTCAAAACTGGAAGAGTAAGCATGGCATCCTTTCCAGCAGTCCGTGCCACTCAAAAGATTCAGGAAAGTAAATTTGATTTTGGTACAAAAGTCGGGACATGTCTTAGGCTAGAATGTAGCATTCTCAATGTATGTTCAAGATTAAAAATGAAGACTTCCAGAGATACCTGGCTGGTGTTGGCGTTCTGTCTTATGACTTGAGGGTGCTCATTTATGTCTCCCAGTGTCAGGAGTATACTTGGAGGGCAAGTTCAACCAGTGAACCCAGAACATCAGCCATTTAAATCTTGTAGAGTTGGATGCCTACTTATCCTGAATCAAGCTGTGTTAGAGAGACCAAGACTCACCATTGGACTGGTCTTCTCCGTAGTTTTTATGGGATGGTGCATACAAGAACATCAAAGCGAAGACGTACAGGTTCCACATGCCGTAGATGCCCGTGAAAAAGGCACTGTTCACTTGGACCGTGACACCGCCCCATTTCCAGTGGCCTTCGGTCACCTACGGAAAAAGGACAGTGAGATACGAATGGAACAGAGAAGAGACGTAACACCAGGAGAGAAGCTAGTCAACACAAAAGCCACACCTCTGTTTCTACCTATTGAAGGACCACGTAAGACTCCAACTCCACCTTTTAATCTGGATTATTTTGGGGCAGATTTGAGGGCTGACTCTGTATCAGGCACAATCAGTGGTTCTTTCAGTGTCTACATTTAGCATCCCCTGGGGTGTGTCTCTTCCTGAAGCAACAGTTCGTTGTTGTGTCTACATGGCCCAAGTTGGGCCTGAGCCTAGCACTATTCCAGTGATAACCCTTCCTCTGCTGTCTTCCCGGCTAGATGTAAACTCCCTGCAGGAAGAGACCGGTTCTGCTTTGTTTGCTGCTGTATCTTTGGTGCCTGTATGCACCATAGGCTAATTCAAATCCAGCCTCTACTGCTCACTCTGTTCAATGTGAAACAGGTAAGATGATGACTCTGAACTTCAGTTTTCTTAAGGGTAAAATAATTTGCAGGGTTACCAGTGAGACTGCTGGGCACACAGTAAATAAATCTTAGTTATTTATATAATGTCACTTGAGGTAAGTCTCTCGCAAAGGTAATTATGAGGTTTTCATCTACTTTGCAATTCTGCAAGAGAAGTTTTGAAGCTGCTTCTGTCTGTGTTAGGGACTTGGCAATTGTCTTAAGGGTTGCCTGAAGACATAAGGACTGCATAAGAACCGCCTAGAGAGCTGCTGAGCTGAGTGACTGATAATTTGTGCCAGTTCCGAGATTGATGAAATGATTTTGATCACTTCTGCTTGCCACAGGAAACTTCAAAAGGGAACATGAGTGTCGGATGAATGTTCCCATGTAGGTGAATGAGGCTGGGCTCTATAAGCCATCACTGGAACCACATCTACATTGTGAGATGGCGAGCGAGACCAAAACACTAAGGCTCTTAGCAAGCAGATGGGTCTCACCTCCTGTGGATGACACAGCACCCTTTGAATAGCCCATGCCCTGTTGGGACCCCAGGGCTCTTCGAGGTGCAAGTATAGGTGTTTCTTTTGGAGAGATCTAGAGTGTCACTTAACCTGCCACTTACCTGTTGGAGTTTGGCCTGGTGATGCATGATTGCTTGTTATTGTGAACCATAAATAAAAAATCACCATAAACTCTTACTTGTTTGGAAAAGGATTTCATTTCATGTAAAGTGCCCAGAAGTGGTTTCATTTTGTTTGATTGTTGGCCAAGAAGGCATTCCTAAACATTACTAATTTTAGGGCAATGTATAGTATTCAGGCTACTTAGCACTTCTTAGAAATGTCTTCTCCAAATGTCACTCTTCTTACTTTTAAGTATGGAATATTCTAACTTTATACAAATTATAGTACTTAGAGTTTCTTGATGATGATTTTTAAAGCCTATAATAGAAGGAGAGCCTTCCTTAAAATCCATGTCCCTGCTGTCACAACACAGAGACTCTTCTGCATGTCATTAAGGGGGTGGGGGAGAGACTGGGAGAGGTCTGAGCGAGAAGGAATATAGCAATATGGCAGCTCTTCTACTTGGTTAAGTCAGTGGGCCCTTCAGCTAGAGGGAGGGCTGGCAAGAGACTCACTCCCGGTGACGTAAGTTGGGAATACTCAGCACTGACAATTTTGGTGAAATTGGCTCTTGCTTGGTTGGCGTGACGGGTCTGGATAAGGACACACCAATTTGTATGCCTGGTACTCAGCGGTGCTCAACAGATGAGTGCTGAATGAAAAGAGATAAAAGCACAAGGGCATGCAAGAAGGCTACTGCAAATACATGGAGGGAGATGGTGGGGACAGAAAACAGCCCCTCTCTTATGAAATGCCTGGCTAAAAAGTGAAGAGGCAATTTCTCAGGCCATAGCAAATTCTAATAACTGCACTTCAAAGTGAGAGGAGTAAGCCGGGCTCGGTGGCTTAGCCTGTAATCCTGTGCCTTTGGGAGGCTGAGGAGAGTAGATTGCCTGAGCCCGCAGGTTCGAGACCTGCCTGGGCAGGTGAGACCTCATCTCTACAATAAATCAAAAATCAGCCGGGCGTGGTAGCGCGCGCCTGTAATTTCGGCTACTCGGAAGGCTGAGGCGGAAGGCTCGTCGGAGCCCAGCAGGTCGAGGCTGCGGTGGCCGGGAGCGACCACTGCACTCCAGTCTGGGCCACAGAGTGAGACTCCAACTCAAAAGCAAAAACAAAACAAAACAAAAACAAAAACAAAGTAAGAGGAGTGACAAGTGTTACTTCATTTAAATACTGGTGAACACAGCCATGGGCGAAGTGAAGATTCTTTTGCGCTCATAACAAGGAGAAGCATAGTGAGCACTTACTGGGTGCTAGGGATGTGCCAGGCACCGCACTAAACACTTACGTGAGTGAGAGGCAGTACAACAACTCTGTGAGCTGGGTAGGTCACACCTCCATTCAACACACGGGTAAGCCGTGGCACAGAGAGACGTGGTGCCTCGCCCGGCCAGAAAGCTGTGGCTCTGTCTCCAGAAGAAGATGTCCCAACACGAGAGCTGGAATGCTGTCTTAAAAAGGGGCCGGTCTCTGAAGGGAGCGTGTGCAGCAACTATTGTGTCAGGTCAAACCTCCTTTAGAAATCCCCTTCAGTGCCCGTAACGCACTTGCACATTACTGACATAGTATGTACACGCAGCTTTGCACATTCAGGTCTGTATAGTCCACACGCATTGTATACCCTAGATACAGTCGTATATGGCATAAAACAATCTGGATACATACACACAGAATTTTGCAGTAGAATGACTGGAATGAGAGGCCCATATTGTGAGGGGCCCACGGGAACTGAGCATGACTGAGGAAACACCAGCCTCATGCCCATCCCATATCTACCCTGGGACACAGGCACCTTGCTTAGAATGGGCCTGCAAAGCTACCCGTCCGACTGAGTTTGCAATCTGTAAATGCATACTTTCCTGCTGTGGGCAGAGTTGAGCTGAACGAAGGAACTGTACAGACAGTGTAACTCTACTGTTTGGAGACTGAATTGTTTGCCCCTTTCCTCCCTCAATTATTCATGCCGGAGACATCCTGAGCTCTGAGCACGTTCCCACCAATGTGTCCCACAATAAGCAGCCTCAACAGAGCAGGCCTTGTCAGTCCAAAATCTTACTCATGCCAAGGCAGAGGTGACAGATGTCCTCCCTCTTTTAACTTTCAGGGAGAAATATCAGGTAGCCCCAATCCTTCTCCCCCCGAAAAACTCCCAAACTCTCACCTTCTGTACCAGTCTCACTTATACAAGTCCCTGTTTTTTCCTGATTTTACATTTGAACAATTTACTTTTGTGTGAAACCACCCAATTATACCCCCGGAGCCAAGTGAAGGTCAAATCCCTTTACACCCAGTAGTCTTGACAACCAGTATTCCACTTAACAACACGATTTCCAAATCCTAGACACAGGTTCTCTTACTGGAAGCATTTCCTCTGCAAGTAACAAAATGAAGTGATCACACACACACAAAGGAGAGGGGACAGCTCTCTGGGAGTCTGCTGCGTGGGGCTCGACCTGAATGTCAGGCACCTGGGGGTCCCCTCAGCGAAGGTCCATGCCCTTCTCCCCTGCACTGCACTTCTGTTCCCCACAGCCGCCACCTCTAAATGGAACGCCTCTTTCTTTTCCAGAGGGAAGGGGCTGAAATACCAAACTGAGCTGTACCCTCTCCTGGTTGCTAGGACTGAGGCCATTAAAGTGGCAGGCATTAAAGAACGCACCTCAGTGCCCAGCTACAAAGCCTCAAGGTCGCCGCATTCCACAGCCTGTAGCCTTTCATTCCTGGCCTCTGAGCTGAGCTATCCTGGCGCGATCCGCCCCCCCACCCCGCATCATGTTTCATGGGGCTTAAATGCGAGCTCTCCCAGCAAGCCCGCGAGTATAATGGGAGTTTTAATACATTCCTTTTACCTAAGGCTGGGATCCATTTCAAAAAGTTACCCAATAGGTTTCCTTTCAGGTGAGCTCATTGCTCTGACTTTCCAAAATGACATTAAAAAATAAATCCTCTGATGACTATATTAATACAGTACCTGGGACACTGAGAGTTATGCTGGAAAACGTCTTAGATGTCTATAAATAAACCTTTAAAAAAAACCCAGCAGGAGGAATGTGAGGAGCTAATGGAATTCAAAAGGGCTCATTGCTACCCCCTCAGAGCTGAAATCCACTCCAGGCTGACTGTCGCAGCAGATATAAAAAGCCAGCCACAGGCTAGAGCTGTGTTAGAAAATGCTGGGGCAATGGAATATTAATCTTATTCTCCAAAGAAAAGCCACAGACTATGCTCCTTGGAAGACAGAGCTTTAAAAAGTGCACTAATTAAACGTGTACAAGGTTAAATTCTGGCGACATGCAGCTGCCTGAAGAATCAGGCCCTCCTGACTTCAGATGCAAGGAGCTCTCTGCAGAGACAAGATGGAAGTGAGAGGTGGGCTGGGGAGGATGCTTCCCAGGAGGCAGGAGCATGCTTCAGGACCGGAAGTGCCCTCCTTTCCTCCTTCCTGCCTCCAGGACTGCCTTCCACTCCTCAGTCTATCGTGCTTGAGTTTCTGCGCGCTGGGCCTTGCAGACCTGGCTGTTTTGACGCGTCACTGTGCATTACTGAGGGACTAGAGGAACTGAGAGGCATATTGGTCGTCACACGAGAGAATTGGCCAAAGGAGAAGTCAGGCCTCAGACACCCTTGTTTGAACATGAGTGTCTGAGCCTCAGCTGGTGGAATGAAAAGCTCCTTCAGAGTTTGAACTAGTTTCACTGCATCTGGAGTGGAGAGTAATGTTTCCAGGGCTTTATAAACAAAAAATGTGATACAAACACAGCCCTGTTGCAGGTCAAGGAGACAGAGTGAACCGAACTTATGAAGACATACATATAAACTGAGCTTGTTTTTTCCACATCCTTCAACCTTTCAGCAGAGCCAGTAACACTTAGCACTAATAACTCTACAGTGGGCAAACCCCCAGGACTCTACAGCCTCCAAACTTGGGGTCCACTTGAGTGTCTGTGGACAGAACTCAAGGGGTCCCTGAACTAGAAGAGAAATATCTTTGTTTTTACCAGTCCCTCACTGAAAGTTAGCATTCACTTCCACTTCAAATACGGAAAAATCCCTGTAGTATTGGCACTATCTGTGCTCTTCTTATCAATGGAAATCATGATATTTTGTATCAATTAAAGTTGTTATAGATATAAATCTGTAATATGCCTGTTGTATCTGTCACATGTACAGTATAGTATATATGTATATACTATATATGTGTGTGTGTATATATATATAATATATATACTTTTATACACATATATACATATATATACACATATATACATATATATTTGATTACCTTTGGATTCCAAAGTATTTTATTTTACTCATATAAAAATATTCTAAGAAGAGACTTGCTGCCTTCACCAGGTTGCCAAAGGGGTCCATACACAAAAAGCACACAGGCGCCCCTGTATGAGAGGGAAAACATGCTGGTAGAATGGAGAAAGGTGTGTCCTAAGGTTTTAGCTGGGTTACTAAAATTCTCCATGTTTGCTAAATGACAGACACTGCAAAAGAGTCCGAAAAACTAGGTTCTGTCACTAATATCATACATGTCCTTTGGTAAGACATTCCACCTTCTTGCTAGTTGTAAGAACACAGCTATTCCTGCGTACTATGTGTCTGTCACATGATGTTTCGGTCCACAAGAGACTGCATATAGGACAGTGGTCCCATAAGATGATGCCATATTTTTACTATAGTAGGTACACAAATACCACTGTATAACAACAGTCTACAGCATTCTGTACGGTAACATGCTGTAAAGATTTGTAGCCCAGGAGCCAGAGAGAAACCATATTAGCCTAGGCGTGTAGTAGTCTACACCATCTAAGTTTGTGGAAGTACAACACGATATTCACACAATGACGAAATGCACCTAACGCAGCATTTTTCAGAATGTATCACTCTTTGCAAGAATTACTTCCTGTGACCCTTATCGCAACCTTCTGTAGGTCGATTATCACATTCATTTTGCACATAAGAAAATTAAGCCTTGGAACTGTTAAATAATCCATCTACTATCCCACCCAGCTAGAGCAGCATAAATAGGAAATTTCTCTAAAGCTATTAGATTTCATATTCTAGAAAACTAGGATAATAATTCCTACCCTACTTACCTCATAGGATTTTTTTGAGGCTCAAATGAATGATAGATACGTAATTAGATTTAAACAGTACTTTCCAAAGCAAGCTACCCATATTTTAAAATTATTATCATTATTGAGATTTTCAAGGATAGCAAAATTCTGAGTTTTGGAAAGAACCAGTGAGAGATAAGGATCTTCTATCAAGGGGACTTTTGAATTACATTTCATATCTAAGTGGCAATATAATGACTGCAAAGAATGGCTGATGGGCTGTAAAAGGATCTATGTCAATGCTAGATAAGGATAAAATCCAGTTAATACTTGTTAATGTTGTGCTACTGGGCTTGATAGGTTTATTCTCTTAAGTAAATGAAATATGCACCCTTCAATGTGGCTGCAGGCTTTTAATTTCTTTAGCAGCGTTTACCTCCTACAAGGTTGTGCTGAAAAGGGAAGACACAATCCAGCTCGCCAGGTGATAGTAAGCCCCAGACTGGTGTGGTCTAAATGAACGTGGCTTGACCAGCTGTGCAGAACCGTAGTCTCTGCTTCTTTCCTCAGCAGCTTTATGGAACTTACTGTGCCGAGTAGAGGGACCTCTCCAGGGACGTTCTCACCCTGACATCTCAGAGTCCACTTACCTGACTAACAATGAAGAAGATGACAGTCATGGCAGCACAGGCCAAGGTGATCAGCATGAGAAACTTGAACCTGAATATTAGCCCCTAATAGAAAAGAAAGGGAAGTTTAATACTCCATCAACTGCTCCCAATTCTTTTCTCACCGCATAAATCTATAACAAGGCAATTATAAAGAAATCTGTAAAACCAAATTCCCAAGAATGACACAAAATGACCTCACATAGTGCTATTTCTCCTACAGAGATGAGTGCAGCTAAAGAATTTCTTGGGTCAAATATTTCCTGTTTTCGCCTCTCATGAAGCCTGGGAAATGATATTCACAACACGTCGTGAGGCAGCTAATTTCCCCACTAAGCTGGTTATGCTTCTCTGCAAGGGTTCAAAGTTACCAAATCCAAGTTTTATGCAGTTGTGATAAAATTCTGCTCCAGTGAACAAAAAGAAATGTGCATATTAATCAACATGAAGTGGATTTGGTTGAATTTTCTCATGTCACTCCAGCTCTGGAGAAAGGCAAGCCTTAGAGAGTGCCTGTGGTTTCCCGAGAGCAGGAATTAAGAGAACCTGTGTTTCAGGGAGAGATGTCTATTATTCAGAGGCTCTTGTGTGCAGAAAAACTCCACAGTTCTGCCGTGTCTGCTTCTCTTCTCACAGAGCAATCAGGCCTGTTTCTCTAAGGATAGCCACTTAGGCACGCACCCAAGGATTCCTTGAAAAATCAAGAATGTGTTGCCTGATTAGAGATTTGAGAATGTTAAGTGTTTCTCTTAGATGAGGAACGCAGTCTACAAATAGAGATTACTGAGCTTTATCTGAGCACCTGCTAGATATTTTAGAGGAACATGGCCCGTGAGAGTCTGGAAATCAGATCACCTGGGTGGAACCCATCTTGAAGCCGATTCTGGGACCGGGAACCTTGACGGAGGCCTCATCCCAAGCCAAATCCCAGCTCGACCGGCCACAGTCAGGTCTCCCGTCCAGCAGTCCAGCATGCACCTGCACTTCATTCCAAAGCTGAAGAACCTGCCCAGCAAGTGTACTCCTTATAGGGAGTGGAAACACACGCATGCCACAGAAAAACCCAAGATTTAGGCAGGCCTGCTAGATGCTTCTCGGAATAGGGCTTAACTTCTAATTTTGCCCAGAGATCCTACATGGAAATCTCTCACTGCGTATTTGAAAGCAAAGGCTTTCAGCCTCCAGGGTGTGTGCGTTCCACATAGAGCACCAGTCCCAGAATGAGCGGAGAGGTCTGCTCACCTCATAGTGAAGCCGCCGGACCTTGCTCATGGCTGGCAGACTGGACTGCTTCCCGCTGATGTTCCGAAACACCTGGAACACCATGAAGCACAGGAACAGGAAGTAGAGGCACAGGCAGATCCCGGCCACGATGATGAAGGCCATCTGGGAGTGTCCAGTGAAGGAAACGACAGGCCAGCCCAGGACACCCGCTGAGAGGCCCAGCACTTCCCCCAACTCTGCCGGGAACACTCATTCATCTCCAAACATTTAGAAAAGTCTCAGGGAGGCACAATACTAAAAACTTGCATTCTAATGCCAATGGTAGACTTCCTGATACAACAGTGTCACAGAGAGAGTGGTGGCTCCAATTGCTTTCTAAGCCAAGTCAGAAGAGAAATGGTGCCTTGTCAGAAACGCAGAATCCAGGGTCTACCCTAGACCTCATGAGTCAGAATCTGCATTTTAACCAGGTCCCCGGGAGATTCATGTACACAATTCATTTGAAAAGACTAATGTCATGTAATATTGGTTGTTAAATACAATCAGGTAAAAAGACACATTAAAATCACAGGAAAAGGCCAGGCTCCGTGGCTCAGCCTGTAATCCCAGCACTTTGGGAGGCCAAGGCAAGTGAACTGCCTGAGCCCGCAGGTTCGAGACCCGCCCAGGCAACTTGGCGAGACCTTGTCTCTACAATAAATCAAAATACAGCCGGGCGTGGTAGTGCATGCCTGTAGTTCTGGTACTTCGAAGGCTGAGGCAGAAGTATTGCTGGAGCCCAGCAGGTCGAGGCTGCGATGGCTGGGAGCGTGCCACTGCACTCCAGTCTGGGCAACAGAGTGAGACTCCAACTCAAAAAAAAAATCACAGGAAGAGTTCACATTTTGATGCCCAGTCCCTACCCCCAATACATAAAAGCAGATGTTCCCAGGGTTAGGACATCAAGTATAACCATGCTTGGAAACCACTGGGGTAGTCCCTCGATTTTTAGAAAGACAGGAGGGGCATGACCTTAAAGATCTTGAAGTAACAACAGGGATGAAGAACTGCTTGCAATCTTCTGTCACACAGAGAATCTTGTCCAATGGAACAGGAATGGAAGGACACATGGTCCAGGAGGGAGTGAGGGGTGGGGCCAAGACACTTGGGCCCGTGGAAAGACTGAGACCTACAAGACCTACCATTAGAGCTCAATCTGAGAGCCACCAAGGCTGGGTAGCAGGAGCCGACTTGGAAGGCGGGTGACCTAACTCCAACTCCTTCCTGCTGCAACAACTCTCCCCAGATTGCCTCTTTTTAAAAAGCATGTTAGTATGTGGGAACTCAGCACTCAATAATGCAACTTTCCTGTGACCAACAGCACCCTGCCAGGAGTGGCACGTGGCTGTCTGCGGCGGGACTTCCCTCTACCTGTAAAAGCAAAGGGCTGGCTAGAAGCAATATTACAAAGGGCCCCCTTGTTGTGCTGCTATTGCTATTTGGTGGGACACAGGGTGTGGTGGGGGCAGGTGGAGCTCAACTCCCTCAATTTCAAGGTAATGATGCTTCTGTTCATTTCATTTGCTCACAAACCTCCTATAATCGACATAAGCATCATGGCCAGAGAAAGCACATTTACCAGTGCAAAGCAAGGCATCGGCCCTCTGGGGGCAGAAAGCCCAAACACCTCTCCCCACTCTAGTCTTTTCTCCCAAGGCACTGAACGTATTATCCAGAAAGATAAAATATTTAAATCCAGCATCCTAAAAGGGATAAGCTAGGACTGCCACTTCTGCCTCGTGAAGATGATGCAGAACGAATTGATGCCAGCCAACCAGGAGCCGCAGCGACTGCTCTGGAACTAATCACCTTAGCCTTATCTCCACTGGGTCCCAGAAACGAACAGCAGTTGTGCAGTATGCCAGCACACAAGGTCACTGCAAGAAGGCTCGCACACAGGTGACTTCAGAAACAGCCTCTCCCACAGGGCCCGAGATGAACCTCGGTTGCTCCAGGGAAAAGCCAGTCATGCCTTGGTTTGAGGTCAGCGACATATAACAGATAACTTAGCCCGGCCGTGGTGCACCCAGCTGCTCCAGTCCTTTTGCTGTGGGGACTGCAGCCTCAGCTGGGCTAGAAAACAAGCGGCCCTTCTCACCATCATTTACCTTAACTGTTCTGTTATCTTGGTCTGAGGATCAGAGCTCTGGCTGTGCACCCTCGGAGAACATCAGCAGAGCCCGAGAAAATGATCCTGGGGACCAGGTAGCCAAGGGAAGAAAGAAAACCTGAGCCCATCACAGAAGGATACGGCCAGCTCTGTTCCAACATCTGTGGTCCAGATACTGTAGAAGGGGTTCGTGAGTTGGACCCCTCTGCAAAGAAAATGAGACAGAAAGGCAAGCCATGATTAACCCCGAGGCCAAGGCGAGCCTCCCTTTTCCCCTAGACCTGGCATTGCAGCTGGGGAGACAGGGCAAGAAGCATCATGGCAGCTCTTCACAGAGAACCCGCAGAGGGATGGAGCCCGTAGGGTATGGCCAGCTACTGGGAAGAGTCCCCGTGGGAGGCTGTGGTCGCGTCCAGTGCTTTCACCCAGCAGGCTCCAAGCACCACCCGCCTGCTCAGTCCTCCTCCTCGAGGGACAGGAGGGAGTGTGGCGACGCACATCCTGACTTAGAGGCGCAGGCACCTGCTTACCTCTCACACATATCGAATATGAAGAGGCAGAAGGAGCCAACGGCGATCGGTCCGACTTGCTTCCAGTAGCCTGCGATGTGATTCCGCTCGTGCTGATCCTGAGGAAAGCCAAGCGAAACAAGAAAGGAGATGATGGCAGGAGGAGGGGAGAGGATTCTCCAGGCGAGCCGGTAGTTCGAACGATGCCCGCTGGCCGCCTCCTGGCTGCCAGATATGTGCTGGGCCTCGGTATACGAGAACCAAGGAGACAAGAACCCCTGCTACCAAGGGCCATGTCTGCTGGGGGAGTCTGGCACACACACAGGCCGTAGGGCTCTGACGGTGATAGGAGCTGACGCTCTCACCACCCAAAGAAAGGTCACAAACCCAGGTGGGGCAGTCTCAGGTCCACAAAGTAGCTCATTCAGAATTACATTCCTGTATGACTTACAGCTTGTGTACGTAAGGTGGGGTGATCCTCAGGGGACAAAACAGACACAGGAGGGAATTTAAACATGCCAGGTGTTCCTCCCTATCTTCATTAAAACCAAGAGCGGCTCCCCTTGACGAATATACGAAGACATTTAGGGTAAGAAGATGCAGGAATGCAGAGCGAGAAAAGGGCAAAAAAGACAGGGACCCAGGTGGACCAGTCCATTCCAGCTCCCTCTGGACCCCCACTGCTGCCTGTCTCTGTCCCCTCCACTCCCAGCCCTTGTGCTGAAGGAGGGTTCACTCTCAGCGTGTCTCTGCTGGAGGGCCCCTCGCAGAAGAAGCCCCCCTCGCAGAAGAAGCAGGCAGGAGCCCTCCCCTCTCTCCTCCTGCACTGCTCTCCTGGGAGGGCGGTGAGGCTGCAGAGGGCCGGTGTTGATGGTGGCACCACACGGAACGTCAGCACCGTCTACTCTACCATGAAGCCCAGTGAATAACACGAGGGCCGGGCCTCAGCATGGTGAAGCCACCATTCTTACACTTATCCATGGCACTCTCAGTCTGTCCTGAAATGTGATTTGGTGTCTGTGTGAACTGAGACCAGGGAGGTCAGTACTTCGGGGCAGTAAAGGTTACTAGGCCACCTGGACAAACTGCCTGCTGGAAAGAGCCAGGTCTGCATTCTCCAGTGGCTAACCTGTGCCTGGGGACAGAGGAAGCCAACGAACGGGAAACCCAAGTCAAAGAGCAAGAGAGGGTCCTGATCACAAGACTCCTTGTGTCTACCTTCCCTTATGTAAGTTACTCTCATTCTTTCACTGCATCCTCATAAAAACCCTGTATGTTAGGCCTTTAAATCCCACTTTATAGATGAGGGACCTGAGACTCAGTGATGTCACTTGCCACTCAGTCAAGTCTGCAGGTGGTAAAGCGGGAATGTGAACCACAGGGTCTGACTCCAGTGCTCCCACCTGTAGCTACCAGTTTATTCTGCCTCGCCTTCCGCTGACCTGAGGTAGAAGGAGGGGCCTGTCAGCTCAGCGGCTCCCGCAGGGCAGCTGAGGCAGGCCTCTGTCTCCTGGGGGGGGCGCTTACCATCATGTGCTCACCACAGAAGATGATCCAGAAGGAGAGGAGCATGGCGTAGAAGATGCCCTGCCGGATGTCTCCAAACAGCAGCATCCAGGTCCAGTCAAACCCAATGGAAAACCATTCCACCGGGATGTTGATGAAGGTCATGGAAATCCCGAGGGCGAAGATGACTCTGATGGCGAGAACATACCAGGGAAGCCGCTTTGTACCTCCGGGAGGCATTTTCAGAGAATCCTCAGAATTCAGTGGGAACTGGAATGCTACTTCTTGGGACAGAAGCCATACACTCAGGCTCCACTCTCAGGAATGAGTTTCTCACAGAGATGCAACCTGTCCCATTTAGCTGCAGCACGCAGGAGTGCTGCCCTGACCTTTCTACCTCATCGGGCCACAGCGCCTCTGTGCCCACCCCATCTGGCACCACCTCAGCTCAAGAGGCCGCCTACGACCTGCGTGTCCCCTTGCCTTCTTGCACAGGTCTCACTCGGCATTAGCTGTCCTCTCTCACCTACTCGGGTGATCACTAACCTGACCGTGAAGAATACTCATTGTTAATGTGATGGCCTCAGCAACTATGAATCATATTAGCATGTTTGTTTCAATAACAAATGCTCCCAAACACATCTGAGACACAGATTCGTTTGGCTGCTTGTTTCACTTTCATCTCGCTTTTCCCCATCACACTATTAACTGCCACTTCTCTATTAAAATATCATTCTTCTATATGATTTATTCATACAGAAGCACATGATCTGTGCTTAGGCTTCAATCTAATGACCCAGATAAATAGGACAAGTGTTTGCACGCACAGAGGTGCATTCGGCTTGTGATAGCGTAGGATAAGCAACCTTGCCAACAAACAGGAGCGCAGAAGGCTGCTGCCAGGGCTTCTGACTTGGACAAGAACAGAAATCAAGCTGAGACGCCACCTGAGGCTAGCGGCGTAAAAGGGGAGCTCCCAGCAGCACCAGGAGCCTGATGCCCTGAGGGACGTGCGTGCAGCCTGTATCCGGAAGTGGCAGGACATGCGGCCAGAGAAATAATGAGGGCTGGCTCTCATGAAGAAACCTGCCCCGCCGTGAGAGAACCTGACATTCATCTCGAAGAGCCTGGAGAGCCAACAAAAAGTGCAAACAGCTGAGTGATGTGATTCATCCACGCATTCAGCAAATATTTATTAAACTCCTACTGTGTGCAGTCACTCTTCTAGATGCTGAGATATGCTAGTGAACAAAACGAGGAGGGGCTCTGATCTTGTGATGCTTGCACACAGATGGCACGCCAGGGGGAGTGCAGAGGACAGACCATAAATAAGTGAAGAAAGAGCACCGCCAAGAAGACAGAGCTAGGAGAGAGAATGGAGAGCGATGGGTGAGGCTTTACCTCAGGTGGGCGGAGAAAGCCCCCAAGATCAGAGGCGTCCGAGCAGGGCCCAGAGGAAACAAGGCACAGAGCCACAAAGCTGTCGGGGGGCCCTGGGCTGAGGGTGTGGACGTCAGAGCCCCATCAAGGGGGCTGGGGCAGCAGGCAGGAGGCGAGATCAGAGGTGGAAGGGCCATGATCAAGGGGTTCACAGGCAGGGGCAGAGGAGATGAAAGCCAGAGCAGAAGAAACAGGATCTGATGAGCACTTGAAAGGGGGCACTCTGGCTGGGAACAGACGGCAGGGGGCAGGGAGCAAGGGGAGCGGCTCAGACACCTTCCCACACCCAGCTGAGAGTGCCGGCTGCTGCGCTAGGGTGGCAGCAGCAGAAGCGGGTTTCCTGGTGGGCTGGACGGGAGGTGTGGCACGTAGAGCTGCACGGGGTGCCTGGCACACGTCCAGCCTGAGTAAGTGAAAGGGTGGGGGTGCTGTTTGCTAAAATGAGGAGCCTGGGAGGGAACAGGTTGAGAGTGGGAGGAAACCAAGTGCTGTTCTCTGCACATGCTGCATCTTCGATGCGAGGGAAGACGGTCCGGAAACAGCTGGACTGTTCGGGTCTAGAGTCAGGAGAGGCTGCGGGCGGAGGTAAAAATGCAGGGCCATCAGAGAGCAGCTGACTTTTAAGACCATGAGCGTGAATGAGGCCACCCTGGGGAAAGCACAGCTGACAAGGAGAAGTGGTCCAAAGACCAAGGCTTACCTCCAAAGCTAAAAGGCTGGAAAGACAGAGAGAGAAAGGAAGGGAGACCGAGTGGTGGTCCGCAGAGGCAAACGACCAAGAGAAGTGTGGAGGAGGCAGTGGGTCAAGTGCCATGATGCATCAAGAGAGGCAGCACTGAAAACCAGGCTCCGGGTGTGGAGCATGCAGGTCCCTGGTGGTCCGGGGAAGGGCAGTTTCGGTGGCACAGTGGGGGTGAATCCAGATGGAGGGGCTAAGAGAGGAGAGGAGAAGACACGAACGGGATTTCTGAGAAGGCTTGCTGGAAAGTGGAGTGGAAAGAGGGTGTGTGACGGCCGGGCGAAGTGGAAGATCCAGGATGGGCGATGGTAGAATATGTGTGAGCATCAGTGGAAACTACCCAGCAGATCGGGAGACATCACGGTGTGTGAGAAGAAGGGGCCGTGTCTGCGGGAGTGCTGTCCCTCTGTAAGTGAGGGGGGCAGGCTCAGTTAGGAGCAGGGTAGCTTCTCCACGGCAACAAAGGAAGGCGTTGACCACAGCGATGAAGGCCAAAGACAGGAGAAGGAGCCAGAAAGGCGAGAAAGGCCCCCAGGATCCAGTAGCAATTGGCATGTGAGAAATGGAGGAGAAAGGGTGACTCTTAGCCCAAGGGCGGGCCCCAGGCACACACTGGCCCGAGAACTGGGCTCCGGCAGAAATGGGGGCCGGGCAGACGGTGTTCCCGGAGAGCTCGCAGCAGCCAGCCCTTACTTTTCCAGAAGCACCGGGGGTCGGGACATCATGGTGATCCTCCTCCAGTACCACACCATGACGATGAAGATGCTGGGCGTGAGGAAGGTCTTCATGGCGAACCACACCTTGGTGAAGCCTCCGTTTTGGTGGATCCCCTAGGCAGAGACCCACAGTCATTGCGAAGGTGAAGCCATCTCGGCAGGGCTTTCTGCCATCAAACACATGCTGGGGAAAGGTGAAAGCAGACCCTGTCTGCTGAACTTCGTGATGGAGAGCTTTTGCGTTCCCAGCCCGCACTGCCCTTGTATACTGCCAGGCCCTCCTCGGGCACTGTAAAAATATGTAAACCAAAGGGCTTCAAAATGGGCCCACTCCATGCTCTGGACGAGACGCTGGAGGCCTCAAAAGGGCATCACATTCATAGAAATGGCCTCATGCTCTGGGGCCTGGAAGGAGAGCAGAGGGTTTGAGGCAGGGTCTCTGTTTCCAATAGACTGTGTCTGAATTCTCTTACCTTGGACTCCTATCGCCAGTTTTAAAAAGCTAATGCTTTAGGCACACCTTAGAGGTACAGATTAACAGGACACATCGGAAGCATGGTGTCCACCCACCTGTCGTCCCTCCCCCAAAAAAGCAAACGCACAATTGACATAGAACCAGAAATTGTGGGTAAAAAGCAGAGAGACCTTCCATCTCTTACCACCTCTCTCAGCTCTTTAATCCTCACATCAGACTAATCTGGTCCACCAGGGCTACACGAGCTTTTTCCCTATACTAAGATAACAAGTAAGAACATGATCAAAGACTCTTCCATAAGGTTTTCATTGAAAAGATGCAGGTATCCTAGATGCTTAGTGTGTTGAGACTGGCAGATACTAAGCAGTACCAGAAAGAATATGTATATTACATCATCATTTATATGACACATACCATCAAATGAAGAAAGCAAGGAACAAAAGTCAGTTCAGTGCAATCCCAGTTTTATAAGGGAATGGCTATATATGTACTTATGTGTAGAAAAACCTGGAAAAAAATATACCAAAACCTCAACAGTGGCTATTTCTCCAGATAGCAGCATACTGCAGGTAATTTTTATGCTCTTCTGTTTCTTTACCTAGACATTCTAATTTTCTTTTTTTCTTTTTTTTTTTGAGTTGGAGTCTCACTCTGTCACCCAGACTGGA